CCCTCTGCCGAAACAAATGCCAAACTCCAAATCATGAACCAGATAGTTCCCTTCACGGGGCTTCAATCGCTGAGACATGTAAGCAATATCCCTGCCACTCTATGTTAACACTGTGCCAAAACCATCACGTGAAGCATCATAATAACTGTGCAAGGCCCCGAAGCCGTGTGTAACCCCAACACTAGGGCGGCTATAGATGGAAACTCCTCCACAAAGTGACGATAGTAGTCAACCCTCAACACAAGGGAGAAACATCCCACACCACAGGTGCAATATCATGACAAATCATTGGATCACCACTGTTAACGAGTACTCAACATCACGTACAAACAAGTAAGAGGGAGTTGAAGATATAGGCTTCAAGCTGAGATAAAGTCGCACGATTAGGAATCAAGAAAGGGAAATTTCCTAACATCCCGTAGCCTCTCAGAGATAAGTATAGATGTCTCCGTACTGATGCACAAGACTCTACTAGACCTGCTCATGACTCATGGGACCTATATGAACCTAGAGCTCTGATACCAACTTGTCACGACCCAAAATCCCGCCTTAGGTCGTGATGACGCCTAGCCATACTTGTTAAGCAAGCCAACTCACAATTAATAAAGTCCAATTTTTTTTAATTAACAAAGTGATATCATAATGAAAGCAGAAGTAATATCAAAGTAATGAATTATCTGATACAGCCATAACATGGTAAGAATACATCCAAAATAGTACAACCCCAAAGGACTAGGTGACACAAGTATACGAGCAACTATTAAATAGGTATAGGTTTGAATACATAAATACAACTGTTTATGGGAAAGAAAATAGACAGGAAATAAATGAGGGCAGGGACTCTATGTGCTGTAGATCGAAATAGTATGGCAGCTCACCATGAAGTCTCCAATGACACACTCTTATTCAGCTTAAAGTGTAATGCAATACCACCACAAAACCTACACAAAAGATGCAGAAGCATAATATGAGTACACTACAGTCGGTACCTAGTAAGTATCAAGTTTAACCTCGAAGAGGTAGTAGCGAGGCTAAATACATTCGATTACTTACAACATAACAATAATAACAAGCCTGGAGCTGGAACAGTAAATATCCTCATAATTAACATGTGGTAAGCTATAAAACAGTCGAAAGACGTAAATCATGCTCTTTCCAATTCAACAGATAATCATAACGTTGTGCAAGTATAGCAAGTAAAACTAGCATACTTCAATCAATGTAGTCGAGGCTACCAACTAGCATGCATACATGGCGTGCAGTAGTTAGCATTTAAATGAATGCCTTAAATGAATCAAGAATATCAATGCATGCTCGAACCGGTACACGATCCATGTACCCCGATATAAAATCCATGTATCACAATAACCCGATACAAAATCCATGTATTGACCCAGTATAAAATCAATGTACTGACCACGCTCACAAGGTCCAAAGTAAAATGGGTTATCACCTGACTCTGGAGGGACGGTACCAAATCCAAGCGCAAAAAGGGGAATAATAGCAATCCCTCATAAATCAATATCCGATTATCATGTCCAATATGCCATAGATGTATCTCACCTGCACGCTTAACCTTTGTGCCAATATCCTCAGTCCAAATCACGTGTCTATCATTTAAAATGAATGTATATGCTCAAGAATTATAGATAAAAGGTACACAATGACTTAGTAATTATCATACAGATATGTGCTCATGAAATTTTTATGTGATTATAGAAATTAAGCAATTTAACACATCAAAAACAAGTTCACATGCCTTCAGAATTAATCACAAGTCTAGTCATGATTTCTAACATGAATAAGAGATCCAACGTAGTCACATAAGTCAAATAAATTATGAGTCAAGTGAGCACGTAGACAAAACATGACATACAATAATTCAATTCTACTCCGGTCATGATAAAAACTTGGTAAATTTATATACGCTTGCCACCACGTATATACACTACCCCAAATACCTTAAACACATATCAAACAAGTTAAATCCTAGGGGTTTCCCTCTTAACAAGGTTAGCCAAGAGACTTATCTCTTCTCAGGCTAGCTTCAACCGCAAATGCATCAAAATCACGCTCTAGCCCTCCAATCACGCGAATCCAAGCCAAACATCATACAAGGAAGTCAAATAATGCTATAAGAAGCGATCCCAATCCATAAAGTTTCGATCTTTGAAGAATTCCCAAAAAGTCACTACGGGCCCATGTGCCCGAAATCCGAGAGCAATACAAAAATTCAATGACCCATAACCTGCCGAGTCTAAATATATAATTATTTTCCAAATCCGGGTCCAAAACAATGGTCAAAACCCCCAAAATACTCTCTCCTAGGGCCCGTTTGGACATAAAATTTTATGAAAGTTTTTTTCAAAATTTTTTTTTTTGAAAATCAGCGTTTATTCATAAAATTTTCAATTTTCACTTGAAGATGCATTTTGGAAATTTTCGAAAATTTGAAAAACTCCAAAAAGCTATTTTTCAAAATTTTCACTCAAATCACTCACAAAACTTCAAAAACAGCCCAAACTGAAATTTATGTCCAAACACAACTCTAAATTTCAAATATCATTTTCACTTGAAAATTTTCTTCACCATTTTTTTGAATTTTACAATTCTTATGTCTAAACGCCTACTTAAAGTGTAGGCACAAACCCCAAATTTTCTTCCTTAGATTCATAAATCAAATGCCAAAATCAATGATAGAATCAGGGATAATAATCAAATCCGAGTCAAGAACACTTATTCAATCCAAGTAGGCGAAAATCACCTCAAAAATAGTCTTAATCCGAGCTCCCAATCTCAAAATATGATGAAATGAGCTCAAAGTCCAAAAATAACAACTTAATATACAGTGCCTAGATGTACCCTTCGCGATCGTGGAGTAGCCCCCGCGATCGCGGAGTAGCCTTCGCGATCGTGAAGCACAAGGTAATACTGCCCAGGAAAATGCACTACGCGATCATGTCTGAGCCCCGTGATCGCGAAAGCCAACGAACCACAGAAGCGCGAACGCGAGCCTTTCACGCGAATGCGGAAGCCAACGAGCCACCTGCCTCCAGCAACACTCTGTGACCGCGAAGTACCAAGCCCGAATGCAATAGCCAGCTCCCCACCACCTAATGCGAACGTGAACCCACACTGCGAACGCGATGCACAAATTGTTAGCTGCCCAACAACTTTCTATGTGATCGGTAGCTTCATCCGCTATCGCGAAACACATCAGATGCACCAGAAACCAGCATTGCAAGCACAACCAAAAATGGTCCGAAACTACCCTGAATCATACCCGAGCCCCCCGGATCCCATCCAATCATGCCAACAAGTCCAAATACCTAATACAAACTTATTTGAGGGATCCAAATACCACGAATAACATCAAAACCAAGTATCATTGACCAAGATCAATCTCTTAAGTTCATCAACTTCCAACTTCAAACCAAACGTCTGATTTAAGCCTAACCAATCCGGAATCCGACCAAACTTTGCGCACAAGTTCCAAATGACAAAATGAACCTATTCCAACTTTCGAAATAACAATCCGACCTCGGTAGCATCAAATTCAACTTCGGGTGAAACTTATGAATTTTTTAAACCTTCAAATTGCCAACTTTCGACGAATAAAGCTAAAATCTTCTAGGAACATCCGAATTTAAATCCGAACATATGCCCAAGTCTAAAATTATCATACGAGCCTATTGAAACCATCAAACCTCAATTCTGAGGTCATTTACTTAAAAGTCAAACATCGGTCACTCTTACAACTTAAAGCTTCCAAATTGAGAATCATTCTATCAAATCAATCCTGAACCCGACGAACATCAAAACCAACCATATACGCATGGCATAATACACCATATGAATCTACTCAAAGTCTCAAAACCGCCAAATGTAATGCTAAAGATCAAAATGACCGGTCGGGTCGCACAAAATTTGACTCCAAAACAGTCCAAATTGCCTCTAATCTTTTTTCGTCAATCTCTATTTTTTTTTTGAATTTTGTATATTTGCGTATCTATGTATTTTCGGCAAACTCCTACCATACTCATTGAAAAGAATCTCCTTTTTCCTTATTTTTTCGAATTTTATATATTATTGATAACGTTTTATGGCCAAAAATAGTTAAATGACATAAAAGACTAATAGCCTATTTGGCCAAGCTTCTCAAGAGGCCAAAAATACTTTTTTTTCTTTTTTAAAAGCACTTTTTTTTCTCCAAAGCACTGTTTTCCCTAACTTGAGGTGTTTGACCAAGCTTTTTTGGGGAAAAAAATACTTTTGGGAAGAAGTAGAAGCAGTTTCTGAGAAGTAGAAAAAAAGTAGCTTCTTCCCAAAAGCAGAAACAGAAGCAGTTTTGACTTTTCTTCTTACCAAAAATACCCTTAACAAAATATAGTATATACCAAAATAACCTTTAAACCTAATACTTAGGATATTAATGTATAAATATTTTTTATTATTTTTAGGATAGATTTTTAATATATAGTGACTTTAGGGGTGAATGCTTTTATATTTGTTGAGTGATTTTTAATATATTTAACTTATATTAAAAGAATTAAGTACTTTTAAATTTTATTTTCATATTTTACTTAAATAAAATAAAAAAATTTAATTATTGCCTATAATAATAAATTTTTAATATTATTTATTTACTTATAATATTAACTATTAAGTAAATCTATTCATGCTCTTATTCGTAATTTGATACTTAAAAGCATTTTCTGAAAAGTTTGGCCAAATATAAATTATTTTTCAAAAGTGCTTTTCATAGTGATTAGCCAAACATAAATTGCTTCTCTCCAAAAATACTTTTTTCAAAAGCACTTATCAAAATAAGCTAATTTCTCCGGCTTGTCAAAACATGCTATAAGTCGCCGGTGTACATAACCATAGTTCTCCCATAAATGAATACAAGTTCTTATTTTATTGGCTTTGGGCTTTTTACGAAAGCAAGGGCAGGCCCATTATAGTTGGCGGCAAAAGACCCCTTCAATTGGGTGTTAAACCCTTCATTTCATTTTCACCTAATTCGCACCCACAGGAGCTAAAACCCTTGGTCATTTCAGCTTTTAATCGTCAGTTTTACGGGAGCTCTGCAGCCGTCGAGCAATCATGGTGAAACGGCGTCGCGAAGAAACCGAACCTGAGACGTTGTACAACACCGTTTTTGTGGATACCAACCTTGATACCCACTTGGCTTTAATTGTCTCCTACTCCGATTATGTCTCTGATCTCAAAGGTAGTTATTATTTTTTACTGGCAGCTGTTTCATACATTTTAATCCCTGGATTCCTCTGTTAGTAAAGTTACTCTTAAATATCAATTAAAAGAAATCTCGAGGCGTTGGGTACACGTGCACCCACTGCATATATGTTGGGTGTGCCTTTGGCAAGAAGGTAAATGTTGTTGGTTAATTCTGTATGAGATTAAATGACAGTGTAAAAGAAATTTACACAATCAGGTCGCTTATTAGCTAAATCTCTTGATAAATATTAATTGGTAATATGGTAAAATGGTTATTGGCCTTGTTATCACAGGTAAATCTGTAAATTGTCATGTGTATATAACTTTAAATTCGTTTTTTATTCAGAGTATAAAATTTTGCTTTGCTAGTTCTAGTTTGTTGACAAGAGTATGTTGTTCTAGTGGTGAGCACCCTCCACTTCCAACCAAGAAGTTGTGAGTTCGAGTCACCCCAAGAGCAAGGTGGGGAGTTCTTGAAGGGAGGGAGCCGAGAGGCTATTGGAAACAGCCTCTCTACCCCAGGGTAGGGGTAAGGTCTGCGTACAAACTACCACGCAAACTAGCCTCCCCAGACCCTGCTAGTGGGATTATACTGGGTTGTTGTTGTTGTTGTTACTAGAACATAATTGATATTTAAATTCTTGATTGAGGAATGATTAAGTTACTAAAGAGTTCAATTGCCTGATATGCACTTTTGTGTTATGCAGAAAAGATTGTATTTGAACATTTAAGGTGCTTTCCTGAGAAGAGGGAGTTGAAAATTTCTTCTGTGAAGGTTTGTTTCTAATCCTCCAACTCACTATTTTTTCTTGTGTATATTCTTGTATCATAATGGTGATTTTAATTATTTCTATTTCCTAACAGGTGAAACGGAAAGGACATTATTATCACCTGCCTGATAGTATGCTTGTCACTAGTGTTTTTGAGGGTATCAAAAAGGGTTGGTTCCTTTCTGTTGATGCTTCTAGCTGTGACCAAGGGTTACTTCGCATCACATATCTGCAAACTGGTGCTGACTATCTTCTCCCTAGTGATTCGTTCAAAGCAATGGCTAAACAGGAGGTTTTTGATACTAATGAACCTGACCCAGCTCACGGAAACTTGGCATCAAGCTCCATTGTGAAACATAAGGACGTCGCCAAGGCCGTTGGTGAATTCAAGAGTGTGAAGCCCATGGATGTATCACAGGAACTTTCTTGTAGAGCTGGTCCTGTGGCAAAGAAGCGTAAAATGAAGCACACAGAAGATATGGTCAACCACCTGGTAACAGATACCCACGCTTCAAAGCATGGCATAGGTAATGATGATTCTGATTATAAGATTGTTGGAAATGATACTACGACAAATTGTAATGAAGGACAACGGGTGACTATAAACATGAAACTGAAAGATGCTAGTGCTGAACCTTTAAGAAACCAACCTTCTGATCCCAGTAAGATGCCAAAATTGGGAAAGAAGAAATGTAGGATGGGTGGGTCAAGTGCTGAAATCTCTGGTGTGCAGGTTGAGCAATGTGGAAATAGGAACAATGATACACTTGATGAAACATCGCAGTCTGGGACCATTGAAAATAAAGTGAAAAAATTGGGTAGCAAGGAAAGCAATCAAGGTCCCACCGAGTTCAATCATAGGGATGTCTTGAAGGTCGCAATTCCAGAGAACTCCACAGCACATAGACCAATAAAATCAGCTTTAGCAGAAGCATTGGGAGACCAATCTGTGGGAACAGATACAGCCCATAAGAAGAGCAAAAAGAAGAAGGGAAAGGACTCATCCATGTGCCATGATGAGGTTGCCTGTATGGTTCTGAGTTCCGATGAAAAACTTGAGGGGAATAGGAGGTTAGAGCAAAATGAAGGAGTTGAAATGAAGATCTCTGACAAGTTGACTGATGTTGACTCTACTATTCATGTTACTCAATCTGGACTGCAAGAAACATCTCCAGTTAAAAATCATACTTCAGACAAAGAGTGTCCAGCACCAGTCAGCAAGGAGTTCTATGAAATGAATTCAGTTGGCCGACCTATGTGTGAATCTATTCTCTCAGGAGATAATGAACCTAGAACTGACGGTGCTAATACAACTGGAGAACAAGAGGAGCTGACATCGAACTGTGATTTTGAAATGCGAATGAGTGAGAAGTTGGGCGATGCAAGTACCAAGGATCCAGTGTCTTCCTTCCAGTTGGCAGATTCACAAGGAGCCGTAGAGAACAGAATTGGGAGGAAGAAAAGCAAGGCCAAGAAGTCAACTCGTCGTCATGAGTTAGATATGAAAAATATTGCTGAGGCTTCTAAAAATACTAGTGCATCTGAGCAAGATATAATCTGCCATGATGGTTCTATTGATGCAACTACAGAGGCTGGTGGAAGTATTGTGACAAAAACTGATGTAGATCATATAAACGAAATAGGGAAAAGAGGCAAGTTGTCAGTTACTCAAGGTGCTGAGACCTCCCTTCCTTCAGATAATAATAAAGCAACTGGGGAAACTAAAGAACAATTTCTCTCAGCTGAAAAGTCATTGGATGACAAGGGGAACATTGAATCTGGAAATGCAAGCAGCACGAAGCGGAAGAAAAATAGCAGGAAATCTGCTGAAAAGATTCCTGATAAATTAGACGGAGAGGATGATAGTAGGGTGAACTGCCCCTCTGTAGCTTCAGGGATTGGGCCTATAGCTGATCCTGTAACTGAGCAGAGTAAGAAAGTTGAAATTTCGTCTGATGCTGGAAAGCTGCAGATTAGTCTAGATACAGAGGTGAAAGGGTTGTCTCATAACAAGGATCTCATGCAAGTTCAATCTGCAACATGCAAATCTTCAGATCATGCCAAAGCAGACATGACCATTAAGGAAGTGGAAACTGCCTCTGCAGCTCCATCTGATGTGAAGGTTGCTGAAGGACATGAAAACTCTGGTCGAAGTAAGAAAAAGAAGACAAAAAAGGAGGTTGCCACCAGTAATATTGATGTTTCATGTGCCCCTTCGGCAATGCACGATCCTTCTGCTAACCATTTTGTTCAAGGGTCTAATCAAGATAAAGATGCATTGCCCGCCACCGAAAGAAAGGTAGCTTCAGAACAAGAGTCAAAGATTGCCTATGCTGAGAAGACAACCCTCATTGATGCAGAGCTTCTTCCTGTTGAGGAGAAGGAAAATGAGGTTGAGCATTTGCTGCGCAACCAAACTGATAAAAATCAGGAGATTGTAAGCCTTGTAGAAAAGAAACTGAAAACCAAAACTAAAACCAAAAAGAGCCAAAGTTCTAAGAAGAGCAAATCCGATTTGGCTATTCAAGACCAGGAAGTCAGTCACAAAGAATTAGCAGCGTCTTCAGAACAAGAGTCAAAGATTGCCTATGTTGCAGGTTCTCATCAACATGATGAGAAGACAACCCTCATTGATGCAGAGCTTCTTCCTGTTGAGGAGAAGGAAAATGAGGTTGAGCATTTGCTGCGCAACCAAACTGATAAAAATCAGGAGATTGTAAGCCTTGTAGAAAAGAAACTGAAAACCAAAACTAAAACCAAAAAGAGCCAAAGTTCTAAGAAGAACAAATCCGATTTGGCTATTCAAGACCAGGAAGTCAGTCACAAAGAATTAGCAGCGTCAAATGATAATCCGAGAGACGTGAGCCCTCTGCCAGAGCCAATGGAGATGGATGAGTCAGGTAAAAATAGTAATGTTGATCAGTTGGATATTACCAAGTTGGAAAATCAGAGAAATCCTGGTACTGATTCCAATTCAAAGAGTTCTGGTAAAGAGCTAAGGAATGCTAACTCTTTTCGTGTGCCATCTCATCCTTTAGCCAAGGGTACGTTAGAGGAGACGCACGCGCCTGAAGTTAATACTGATAAAAGCGAGAGCATAAACTTCAAGAAATATTTTATTCCTGGTCAACAACAGGGTGAAGTTGCATCAAAGAAACCAACGAAATCAAACAGACACACAAAAGCTGGCAGGAAATCAAAGAAGGATGGAGTGACTTCTGGGGGCACTTCGGAAGATATCTTGAACTCAAGAACTGAGGTGACAGTTCCAAGTCACTCAAGTGTTCAGGGAGATAAAACTCTTGAAGACACTGGAAAGCTTGCAACTTTTGATGCTCCTGCTTCCGAAAAGGATAGTAAAGAACCTATGGATGAATCTATGTCCAGCTCAAGCTCAAGAGGTTCTGATAGATTCCCCGAGAACAGAAGACAGCAAACAGGTTCAGAAATCCAAAGTTTGGCTACCAAAAATACAAAAATGAGAACTGGAGACCTCGAGGATTGTACACCAAAGAGAGGAGTGCTTCCTACATCAGGGCCTAAATTTGGGGATATTAGATCGAGAAGGTCTGACTGTAAGGGGGGTGGAAATTCTGATTCTGCAACTGAGACTCCATCTGATTATTCATCCTCTTCTGGCTACTCAGTTGAAGGAAGTGAAATAAGTCAGGCTTCAACTCCAAATGGTAATTGCAAATTTACTCTGCTAAAATTTTCCGTTCATCTCTAGACAGTCAAATATGTTCTTATTCCATTGACATCCATAAAAATTTGAGACCTTTTACTCAAACAAAGCCAAGTGACTCATGTTAGGGTGGTCAACAATCTGTAAGGCCAGGTAACATAAGCACTGAGCTGTGTGGCTGCCATTCTTCTGATTTCCAAACAGCACCGAGTCAAATTCCACCCTATCCCCCTCCCATGACAGGCTAGCCGCTGGCCTTTAAAGGAAAAGGGGAAGTTCTTCATTTCTACTTATGGGCGTAATCATTCCTATGGTATGCCAAAATCATGGTTCCCAAGTAGTTAACCATATAGAGAAGGACTCCTTATTTATCTGATGGATCAAAAATCAATGCAACATATATCTCAAATACATTTTATAGTTTTTTTTTTATCCGTTCTTCATTCTGTTTATAAGCTAATTTCTACTTCCCTATGTTGACTTGATAGGAGCTAATGTTGCAAAACATGAAGATGCTGGTGCAAAGCATAAGGTCAAATCAAAGTAAGTGTGAGATGTATTAATTTTTTTCTTTAAGCCCTTAGTTAAACATGGTTCTTTTTTTGGATGTGCATCCATGTTTAAATCAGCACTAAGGAGGTGCTATGTTTGCATCCAAAACATTACAAGTGAAAAACTGAGAAAAGTTACCAGAATGCCTATACAAGAGATTCTATGAACTTGAAAAACGTTTCGGCGTCATTTACCCATTCTAATCTACAATAAAAATATATTTACATAATACCTTCAGATTTGACATTCAAAATTGACTACTTTTCATCTTCAAAAAATCTTCTATTCTTTTCTCTACAATTACACCACCATGTGCAAGCTGGGATTGTGTCCATACTTTCTTTAGTTACACATGGTTCTTTCTAACGGTAGATTATGGCTTATGAGTGGTAAAATTCTTTATCCTACTCTTTGTTCTAAATCTTGCTCGTAAGCACTAGGCGGTAGCTTGATACTACAACAACAACAACAACTCTAGTGAAAATTCCACAAGTGGGATCTGGGGAGGGCAGGATGTACGCAGCGGGCAGAGACTGTTTTCGATAGAACCTCGGCTAAAGAAGATGGAAGAAGCGCCGATAACAATTCAGAGCAAGACAATATATTTAGAAAAATAAATTGAAGATAGCAATAAAGAATATGAAAGATGTACCGATAGCAAGTAATAGCAAAACAATCTATTTAGAGAAACTAAATCCGAGGTCTGATAGCAACTAGGCGGTAGCTTGATCTGGTGGTAAATTCTGCCGGTATGTCCTGCCATAAAATATTAAGTCAAATTGTTGTAGTTGATAATTTTTTGCTTTGTCCAAAAGGTATAATCTCTTTTGTTGCTCTACTTTGTGATTATGTTACTTGTGCACAACAATAAAATGAGCGTCTGTGATTGGTATAGGCTGTTAATGACAGGTGGAGAAAACTTAAGGATGACATGTTTCCAAAGTTATCCTCTTTGTCTCATCCTTAAGATGGGAATATTTGCAAGTCAGAAACTCTGGTGTTAGAGCAAATGATTTAGACAATGAGTTTGTTTAAGTTATCTATGTATTATTTATTTATTTATTTATGAACTTCCTGGTGCTTGTGATCACACTGTATATTCCAACAGTTTTTTAGGTCAGGACATAACCATAGATATGATCCTGAGAAGCTCTAGCCGTTTCAAGAAGGCTAAGGTTATGGCTGCTCAATGTCAAGATGAAGAAAGTCAGCCTGTTGATGTTGTCCCTGATAGTCTAGCAGACACTTGGAACCAATAACTCTCCTCTCCTTGGTTACAGGTGAACTGAACCCAAATTTTGGTACAAAATCACCCGTCCATAGCACCTTCCTCCCTCTTTAATCGTACTGTCACCTTGGGCTTTCCAAAGCAACAAGAAAAAGAAAAACAAGGAGAAAAGTGTTTTTTTTTGCTTGTATGTACTTATGTATTACTATCATTAATTAAAGGTTAATCAAGAGTACATTGTACACCGATTTATATCCATGCACATGACGTGATTTTTGGTTCTCTGGTATTTTGTTTGATATTGATTACATTGTGTCTGTGTAATTCATTCAATAGTTGAAACCTAACCTTTTGCTGTGGTTGACGAGCTACACGCGGCAGACTTTGATATAAACCTTTTATTTGAGGTAAGATCTCTTGAAACTAATAAATTCATTTGAGAAGGAAAGAAAATACGTTAATCAGCTAAATGTAATATATATAAAAAATATTATTGTGGGGGAGTAGATGAAGCAGAGTTGTTGAAGTTCAATTCCAGAGGTTTAACAGTCAGAAATTGAAGGTTTGCATTCTAAGGTATCCTCGGAAGCAATTTTACTTTTTAACCATCATTTAGTATTAGAAACTTACTGGTTTGATTAAACCAGATTCGAGTGATACGAGCCATTTAAGGGGATTTGATACTCTCTTCCAATTTTCCTTTCCCTTTTTTCTAATCCCCAATGTATTAGAAAAGTGAAGAAAAGAAAAAGTCAGAAACTAATTTGAGTGCTTTGCCAGCATTAATGGCCGAAAGTGATATTGACAATTAAACATAAAGAAATCTTGTGCCCGTCGTTGACGCATCATGCTTTAATTGAGCAAATGAGTAATTTATTCTATGCTCTTATATATACAGCTCTCACCCTTCCACTTCCGTTGGACATTAACACTCACGAGAACTCTAAGAATTTCATTTCTGATAGAATACTTTTTCATGTTACAGTCTTTTCTGTTGAATTTAGCTATATCAATTTTGTTGTTGTTTCTTCAAATTACACTCCTAACCTCTATGAGCTTTGCTTATATTACCAGTGAAAAATGTAAGAAATGTTAAAGAACGCATAAAAGAGAAGCATTACAGTTAATTGACAACTAACATAAAACTATTGAATATGTCAGTGAAAATTGTAAGAAATGTCAAAGAACGCATAAAAGAGAAGCATTACAGTTAATTGACAACTAACATAAAACTATTGAATATGTCAGTGAAAATTGTAAGAAATGTCAAAGAACGCATAAAAGAGAAGCATTACAATAAACTGACAATTAACATAAAACTATTGAATGTCAGTGGAAAATGTAAGAAACATCTAGTGCTATACAAACTAATACTTTTATAATATTAGATTAATATGAGCATAAATGAAATGTTATAATATTAGATTGATGAGCGTAAATAAAATGATATCGACAGTGAAAACTCATATAACTAATGTTAATCTGCGCGGAATTGAGCCATAGTTAATGTTAATTTGCTTGGAATTAAGACCTAGTTATATTGCACATTTCTGATTTTAGGTAATTCTATTACTAAAATTTTTAGATTTAAAAGATCAAAAAAGAATTCTCACCATTTCAGTTTGTAGTGAGGGAAAATGTCTTTGGATTCGAGCTATTACCAATGACAAAAATAAAAAATAAGAATGAAGTTCGTTTGTATTATTTCTCTTTGTTTAAAAAAAAAAAAATGTAATAATGATAAAGGCACATAGCAATAACCAAAAAGTCAGCCACAGACAGAGAAAAGGATCCCCAACTTGTTCTTCAAAGAATAAAAGTTATATTGTCCTACAACTACTAAACTCCAAAAAGAATTTAATGTCCAGCATTACACCAACCTGGAAAAAAAGAAGAAAAAAAAAAACAAAAAAAATATCCGAACCGGTTCGATCAACTCTTTTTCCTGAAAACAACTTCGGTATCCAAACCGAATCCATCAACGGTTCGAGTATGAACCAACTCGGACCGCTTAAACAGTTTCTTCAACGGCTCAACACTATACAAATCGTTCGCCGAATACTTATCCGACCGCCTAGATAACGCCACGTGCAAAACACAAACCCCGCCGGGCTTCAACGTCCGTTCGATCTCCGACACAAATTTCTCCGGGTAAAGCGCGTGGTCAAAAACATTAGAAAATTCCAAATCAAACGTCTCATCTTCAAATGGCTGATTATGAAAATCGCCCTTCACCACCAACGGCGGGTACGGTACAAGATCCATTCCGATTGAATCGGATACTCCGACCCGTTTCAGTGCTTCAACTTCTTGACCCATTCGGGCACCAATGCAGAGCACTTTCGATGAATCTGAAAGAAGACTCCTAGTTTTAAGCTGGCCGAAGAATTTTGAAAAAACTTGAATTTTCCGGTCCCAGTCACGAGTTGTCCATATTTTTCGTAGTTTCGGATTGAGGGTCTTGTTGAGCTGTTTCTGGATGTAGGAATCGTAGGTAGCGTATCCGGATCGGATATTGAGATCTGAACCAGAGTTTGATGTTGTGGAGATGAGAGCGGAGAAAGAATTCCGATGAGAGAGAAAAAGGAGGAGAGGTATTGATATGAGGACACCGAAAAAGATGCATTTGGATATTGTGAAAGATGATTTTGATACAATTTCTTTCATCTTTGCATACAATGTAATATATATGCTCAATTTCAATAGGCTATATATATGCAAGGAAAAATGAAAAGCTATACTGTTCAAAACTTTGCGGGGAAAACAAGAATATGGGGCGTGATATTTTTATGGATTGGGGTGAATTCAGGGCATGGGGGGGAACTAGTTAAGAAGAAAATAGGGGAGAGAAGAAGAGAAAAGGATAGGAGATAGAATGGTATGAAGAGTTGGTGCGTAAGAAAGCATGCATGCGTCAATGGGGGCGGTGGAGTATGTCTTTTTGGTGGTATATAAGGCGATAATAGCAATGTGTGCACATTTTTTCCAAGTGCAAGACCCCGCTATATTATTGTTGTTCCAACTTAAAATGTATCCTTTTCTTTAGAAAAAGAAAAAAAAATTAAGATGTATGAGTAAAAAGTAGGAGTGTCCCAATTAAAATTTTATACGATCACGATGAATTATCTTTTTTTACAATATTTAGATAGTAAAAATCTATTTATAGTTTATATAACATAAATTTATATATTTATACCTTGAGTATATTCTAATTATTAGTTGCCCACCTCCTCTAGATTATGACCACATACTTGGGTAGACACTTTTCTGTTGTTGTTTTAATTTAATACAAATGTTATTATTACAGGCGTACTGAATAAATCTTACAGTTAAGAAAAAAAATTGAGAATTCACTTTTTATTATTCTTTACTTAATTTATTTTGCGTTAAGGTTTAATTAAACTTTAAAGACGACCCCGTTTTGAGGAAAAAGAAAGAAAGGGGTCAAAAAAGAACGGTGGGACAATAAGAATGGAATTAGGGTAAGTAAGATGATAATCAATCTTTTCTGATTGCAATTATGTTTTTTCTTTTTTAATTTTTCTTGAAGAAATGTGGAGTGATGGGTCCAACGGGTAGGGTCGGAGATTATTGTAGCGAAATGATTGATTCCAATTTGTAGATTACTATCAGGGCAATCCGGTGCATGAAGTATCCTACGTTCACGCAAGATTTGGGATATGGCTGCATCTCAAGGGGTGTGATGTAGGCCGCATTCTTTAATGTTTATTTCAAGGCTTCAATCTATGACCTATAAGTCACAAGAAAATAATTTTACCGTTGTTCTGAAGCTCGGATCCGGACAGTGCAATGGCCGAATTGATTAGCCTTAATTAACCGGCAACTTAATAATGAAGCTTTTGTCTAAAAGCAAACTTCGAACGCAATGCATGTAAATGTGTTTCCAAGTTCTTTTTGGTCTCGTCTCTTTCAACACATACGTATAACTCTCACACTCTAATATTTAACAAGTCAAATTCTCATTTGAATACACTTAGGCAAAATATATGAAATATCTTATATACGAAGGTTGAAACTTTCACATCAATTTCATCTATGTAATTGTCACAACTAATAAAACAAAATGTTTATTACTACCTTTTTGTGTGAAAAGATCCTATAGAGAAGAAGGAAAGTGTTTACCCTTAAAATGAGTAATAATTGAATTTATACGTGGTTAAAGGATATGTGATTTAATTCAACACGAATGAACCATGAATAGTAAATAATTGAATTAAAGAAAATCAGAGCGACCAAACCAAATGTAATAGATGAACAAGTTCAGCTTTGTTTTGGACGTCTGGAATTTGGTTCCGATTTAGCTCTCAGAACGAGCTCGGTTATAACTTAATAAACAAACAACTGAAGAACACTTTGAATAATAGTTAAAGGACAAAAATTAACTTTATTGCTTTGATATGTGTGCCAATAGTGATCTTTAAAATGAAAAAGTTCTCACATTTATATAGTAGGGGAGTTTCAATCATAGTACAAGTCTAAATAAAGAAAAAATCTTCTCCTTTCAGTAACTGTTGATATGCAGTTGATGTCGGGCGAAATTTACGCCGTAACATCCGATTGAGGGAGGATATTACGGATCCTTGCTTATCGTGTCTAACCGTCTTTTACCCTAGTCTCGGCCCTTCATTCTGCTCGGACCCGATGCTCGACCGTATCCGATATCGAGTGCACCATTTGTCCTCCCCGGGCTCAGAGGTGCGAATGTCCTCGGCACTACTCGAGGTCATATCGGGTCGCACTGTCCTCTCGTTTCTTTACCGGTAAATCGGGAATAACTTTTATCCTCGATTTTACCCATATGTTGAAAGACCTTTTCTGCAAAAAATAGAACATGTGAAATATACGATGACGACTCAATTACGAAGCTATTGCATACCTAAGTTTCATGCTTATTGTTATAAATATATTATATTATGGATGTTCATTTAGTACTCCGTTATAAATAAGCTTCCTGAAGAAGATTATCTATATGGGACTCCGCCCTAAATATGTTTATCTATTTAGTACTCTATTAGAAATAAGCCTCCTCAAGAAGCTTATTCTTTCGGTATACCGCTATGGATAAATGTTACCCCCGATAAAAGATTATCTATATCTGGTACAATAAGCTTATTCTTTCGGCATTCCGTTATGGATAAATATTGCCCCATGCAGAAGATTATCTATATCTGGTACAATAGCAACTTACAAGCAGCTTGCAGTAGCAGCTTACACAACAGCTTGCAGTAGCATCTTCCTTTCTTCTATAAATATAGGAGATTTCAGTTCATTTTGTACATCAATTTGAAATTGAATAATATCTTAGTTTCTCTCTATAGTTGTCTTTACTTTACAGTCTTTATTTTATAATGCGTTATCAGCACGAGACTCTGCCATCTCGAGCAAATACTTTGAAAGTATAAGAGGTACGAACTTTCATTTTCTAAATAATGTCAAATCTTTCTAAACTTGAATTTGTAGCCTTGGATATATCGGACAAAAGCTACATGTCTTGGGTGCTTGATGCTGAAATTTATCTTGATGCGATGGGTCTGGCAGACACCATCAAGGACAAAAATCAAGCATCAAATCAAGTCCGTTCCAAAGCAATGGTATTCCTACGCCATCACCTTGATGAAGGCTTGAAAATAGAATATCTCACTATTAAAGATCCAGTCACCACTTGAAGATGGTCGTTCTTCCACAGGCACGTTATGATTGGACTCATCTAAGGCTACAAGATTTTAAATCTATTAGTGAGTATAATTCTGCTATGTTCAGAATTATTTCCCAATTAAAATTATGTGGTGATAATATTACTGATCATGATATGTTGGAGAAAACTTTCACCACTTTTCATGCCTCGAATATGCTCATGCAGTAGCAATATCGATAGATAGGATTCAAAAAGTATTCTGAACTTATCTCACATCTTCTTGTAGCCGAGCAACATAATGGGCTATTAATAAAAAATCATGAAAGCCGACCTACTGGTTCTTGTCCATTCCCTGAAGTGAATGAGACGAACTTCCACCAAGCTAAGCGTGTAAGAGGTCATGGCCCCAGTCGTGGTCATGGCCGTGGTCAGGGAAGAAACTCTAATCATGGTAATAATAATGCACCAAAGAACCCTCTTCACCACCAGCAGTGGAAAAGGAAGGAACAAAAGCATGAAGCGGTGCAAGCAACAAAGGCAGAAAGTACATGCTATAGATGTGGAGGAAAAAGGCACTGGTCACGTACCGTGTCGTACACCAAAGCACATGGTTTAGCTTTATCAAGCCTCCCTAAAGAAGACAGAGGAAAATGCTGAAGCAAATTTTATTTTTGAAGATAATTTAGACTTCATGCATTTGGATGTAGCTGATTACTTTGCATTCCCGGAAGAAGAAATAAGTCATGTGATCGATGATGAATCTTTAGAAATGTAAATATTTTAATTTTTATTATTTGTAGTAGATAATGTGGTTATGTAATTGTTGTGCATAAATAAAAGTTATGCTTTGATAATGATGTTTACTATCATATTTATTTTGTTTATATCATTTTGAAGAATATGGATAATCCTCAAATTATGTTTGGATCAAAGACCAATCATGAAGATATTTGTGTAATTGATAGTGGAACAACTCATGCCATATTCAAAGATTAGAAATACTTTTCCTATTTGCATAAGGAAAAAATAAATGTTTCAACAATTTCTGATAATATAAGTTTGATTGAAGGCTACGGAAGAGCCACTGTATTTCTGTCTAAGGGAACAAAATTTATTATAGATAATGCATTATTCTCCTCCAAGTCCCGAAGAAACTTGTTAGGTTTTATAGATATCCGCCGAAATGGGTATCATGTTGAGACGATAGATGAAATGAATGTGGCACATTATCTTTTAATGAACATCCGAGGGGGGGGGGGGAGGGGTGTTATGAATATATTATATTATGGATGTTCATTTAGTACTCCGTTATAAATAAGCTTCTTGAAGAAGCTTATCTATATGGGACTCCGTCGTAAATATGTTTACCTATTTAGTACTCTATTGGAAATAAGACTCCTCAAGAAACTTATTCTTTCGCTATTCCGTTATGGATAAATATTACCCCGATAGAAGATTATCTATATATGGTACAATGAGCTTATCCTTTCGGTACTCCGTTATCGATAAATATTACCTCCGGTAGAAGATTATCTATATCTGGTATAATAGCAACTTACAAACAGTTTACACAACAACTTACACACCAGCTTACAGTAGCAGCTTATACAGCAGCTTGCAGTAGAAGCTTGCAGTAACAACTTCCTTTTTTTTTATAAATATAAGAGATTTCAGTTCATTATGTACATCAGTTTGAAATTGAATAATATATCAGTTTCTTTCTATACTTGTCTTTACTTTACATTCTTTATTTTATAACACTTATTTAATACTATAAGCTATTGTAGCATTGACATTTTAACCTTTCGGTGAAGTGCAATTTTATCTCCAAAAAAGGCTTGTTGCTGGAAGACAATTCAATAAACAAAGCACATGATTAATTGAAGTAAAAGTCCATAGTATTTGATAGAAAAAACATGTTTCAAATAGCCAGAGAGAACCTAGAGGTGGTATTCGGTGGCTGGCACCATAAAATTGTTAGAATAATAAAAAATTGCATTTAATAGATGTAACAATTAATGATGAACTAAGCAAAGCTGGCATTGGAACCCATTTATTCGAATTTAATAATAAGGTCAATAAGACATTAGACTCTACACAACTTTCATTAATGATATTGAAATTTCTAACATGTTCAAGCATGTTCAAGTTTCCTACTATATGCATTAATTCTTCTCTTTTTGTAATTTATGAGATATGTTTTCTTTTTCTATTATTTCTCGCTCTATTTTTTCTTTCATATATTCTCACAGCTTTCAGTACAGTTGTGAGATGGTTCTGCTGTGGCTACGCAGCCTAATTAATAACTAAACCTCCCATGTGGAAAAATCTACTTTTCTTAGACATCCA